TATGATTCTATTCTATGATTCTAACCCGATGGTTAATTCAGACAGGGAAGTGGTGGAATAGCTGTCCTCTCTGCCTTCACTGCCGCCCTATGTTCTTGTGATTCCTGTTACGTCAGGAGGGGAGGAAGCACTCGGAAGTCTCAACACCGTTTTTGTGTGCTGGGAGCCACTTCCTTGATCACGGTGGTTGCAGGTTTTTTTCTAGTGGTATAAAATCAACACGGTATATGAGGGTAAGCGCTGCGGGATTAGTAAAAGGATCCTTATCACATAATTTTCAGTGCTCTTTCTGTAATGGTGTAAGAGGTTCAGGCGATAAGCAGAACTCCTGGCACTTTATGTTTGTGAAGGCACAGATTTTCTTCGTGGCAGATGAGCGAGTGTTTGCGAAGTCACTAAAACTTCTTTTCCCTTGCCGGCTTCATGGCTCTCCAGGGGTGCACGGCTTCCAAGGAGACTGTGGAAACAAGGCCCCTGTCTTAAAGCGGTACAGCCTAAGATTAGGCGATGTAGAGACAGAAGCATCTGTGACAGGAACAGGGCACAGCATGCACGTGATGAAGGTGTGGTAGCTGTGTGGTTACGTCTGCGACTGGAGGCAACTGATATGTTGGGTAATTTCAGGTGGAGAGGGTCCTCGGATAGAAAGAAACCTGCCGATGTCGCAGCAGACAGGCTGCTTTCAGAAGCCTTGCGCCACCTTCCATGAAACTTGTGTTAGTGTAATTTTCCTGGCCCTTAGCATTTACATATGCAAACAAGGTAAGGTCCAGGCTCAAAACTTGGATTGCAGAGTGAGAATGACCATAAATGGATATTGCATGTTACGGTCTGTCCTGTCCCTAGAGGCACGAGGTGCTGTCTGGGCTGTGTTTCCAGGCTTCTCGATGCCTCAGCCATAATATTTAAAAAAAAAATCAGCCAAGACTTTCTTTTGACTTCAGCAGGGTTGGAACAGAAAAGTAACTAGTGTGGTGAGCTGCACCTGGGCTGATTCACTGCTAAGAACAATGTCCAGGTGAGCACTGATAGGAGCAGCAGCTTGAACCTGCAAGCTGAAGGCTCGTCTCCTTGACGTGATGCCGCTGAACCATTCCTTCTTGACGCTCAAGGCACGTTAAGCCAGAGATAAGCACTAACCGCTGTGCGCAAAGGAGTCAATAAATTGCTGTAAGACTTCCCCTTCGGTTTAACTTTTATTAAAAGAGGTGCTAAGGTACTGTACTGTATGCAGTACATCATATTTATTACCAAAATTAACAAATATACAAAACTTATACATGTAATTTTCTTACATCCATTTATTGGTCTATAATACTGCATTTGTTCAAGTAGGTTATCTACAGTATGTAAACATCCCTTGGATTGACCTCACACAGATTAGGAAAGCCCATCTAACCCATGTAGTTACCAAATATAGCTTTTCCTTCTTTTTTTTTTTTTAAATTTATTTGGCTTTCATTGGTAGAATCTAATCTTCACATTTGGCACATGGAAGAGACATCTACAGTGCAAAAGAGGCAGATTTTCTGGTTTTGTTCTGAGCAGTTTAGCAGAGTCATAGTTTTAAAGAGCCGAGGATAAGTTTACACAAACTGGGTAGGAGACGGGTTAGTGTTAACACCAATGACTCATAGGTCAGCCATTAAACTAGAGCAGAAATTCAAAGCCTCTTCCCCAGCCCACTTGGCCAGGTGGAAAAAAAAAAAACCCTCAGCCTTGTTTCTAAAGGATTAAAAAAGGGCTCTGTTAGCAACAGAGAGAGAGGAGGTTTAGTTTACAAAGAGCCCTCTGAGAGAACAGTTTCAATTTTCTGCTTTGTGGGATTTTTTTTTTTTTCCTCTCTTGTTAGCAAGCAATTTTTTCTCCTTTTTAATGGGGGGAAAATAACCAGTGGGAACCATTTTTCTATGCTGGCAATTTCTCAGTAAGTTGGAGATTACAGTTGGAGTTTACAGGTATTTGAAGCCAGATGTATAGAGCTCAGTAAGCTGCCGTGTACACGGGAGAGAGAGAAAGAGGGAGGGAGGGAGAAAGAGAGTAATGTCATTATATTCCAGTCATGGAGCTTTCCAATTTTGCTGTAAAAAACAGGAAAAAAAACTTTCTTCCTTCTGCTTCTTACTGTTTCAAAAACATGACTTAATTTAACCGAGTAAAGCTGATCCAGAGAGACCTTCAGTCGCACCCTTCTCCCCATTCTCATCCAAGCACCGTATTGCTATTTTTTTTAGGAGGCCTTACCCACGTCCATGGAAGCATCTGATGAGAATGGACCTAACCGGACACCGTTCCGCAGGGAAACCCCTCTGCCGTTCCTCGTGGGTTACCACAGAGCCCCGCTGCTGTCCGTGGCACCGTACATCTCGGCCAGCTTTTTGAAGCGCGGCCCCCAGTCCGTCAGGTAGTCGTAGCTCTGGTCTGAGTCTGTCGTCACCGACTGTAGGGAGCTGAGCGACTCGGCCACCGAGCCGTTCCCTTCGAACATGTACGTCTGGAGGGAGTCGAAGGGAGGCGCCCACAGGTCCATGTCGGCTTCGTACAGCTTGGCGAGCACGTAGTTGTGGACGTTGTTGTCCATGACGCACGCCTGAGGCACGTATCGGGAGAGGCTCTCTATCTCAGGGAGCATGTCCTGCCGGTTTTTCACCACCAGCTGGGCCTCCCGCGGGTTCCACATGGCGGCGATGTCGAAGGCCTCCGTGTCCTCCTCCCCGCCGCCCTCGTCGTCGTACCTGACGATGTTCTCGTGGATGTTCTCCTCCTCGTCGATGATGTACGGCTGCTTCCGCTGGCGCCGCATGGAGAGGATGAGGAGCACCAGCACTGCGGGAGGCAAGCGAGACACGGGGCTGTCAGCAGGAGGGCGGGTCTTGCCAGGGCTTCACTCTGCTGCCCTGTTTTCCCCTCGGTGAGCCCAGTCAGCCCCACGGATTTAAAGAGCTGTGGTGTTTGTGGGTGGAGGGGCACAGAAGTCCCCTCCCCCAGCCAAAATTAGTATCCTGAGGTCCTGCTAATCTGTCGCTTTTCTCACCTTAACTCTTGGTGACACTTAGGGCATGCCCATTCTGCGGGGCTTGCCAGCGCACCGTGGAAACGCTCTTTTAAGCTAGCCAGACCAGGTGTCAGTAAAGGTTCATCTGCCGTGGCACACAGCTCCACGGGAAAAATTTTCTCCTGCTGCGTAGCCGGGCTTCGCAGCTTTCTCTGGGGCTGTCGCTTGGGCTGGGCGCTGCGCAACAAGGACGGATGGTGCCGAGGCACCGCGGCGTTACGTCTGCCTACAGGGCCAACTGCAGAGCTAGCCCCGTAGTCTACTCCAAAGCGTTTCTGTGTCGGTCTGCACAGCGCTGCCTTGGGCTGGACAGATCTCCTGCCGGGTGCTCGGCGGTAACGAGACGCGTGTGCTTCTCCGCACGGGGAGAAGCGGTCGTACAGGCGCCGGAGGCCTGTGTTGTACTGACAGTGTGCTGTCACCCGGTGACTGTATTTCCAGGCCTAGAACTCAGCAAAGGGTTTGAACGCTGAAATTCTGGACTGAGGTATCTAAGTTCCTTTGCAGGGCTGGAATCGAGGCACCTCTAAAGAATTTTACCTGTATCCTACTCCACTGCTCCTCAAACTGGTTCCTCTGAAATTTCAGGGAATGTGTGTTTTGAACTAACATCTCATGATTCAGGAGAGTGAATGGGGGAAATGAAGTTCTTTCGATACCAACAGCTAACAGGTGACAGAGGAGGCCTGGGCAAAGAAAAGATGAAATCTATGTGTGCAGAGAAAACACTTGCAAGATGCTCAGCCCTTTCACAGCAGCACTGGCACCACTTAGATGTAGTGACCCAAGGAAAAAGGATGGAGGTGGGGATATCTCCTGCCAAAAGACAAGAGGTGGAACTGGTCTTATCACTCCTGTTTCCCATGAGAGTGTGTGATCAGAAACTGCTACGGAGAAGCAAGTAACTTGTTCCCAGCCACAGTTCTCAGTACTGCCTCCTGGCATGGCCCTGTCCAGGAAAGCAGGGCCATACCAGACATCCTAGAACTTCAGTGATCTGACGAATATTTGCAGGCCATATTTTCCCCCCATTCCCACACCCCAGGGTCTGAAGCCACACGCAGCTGACTAGACCGTCTGGTCCATGGTTTGGCCCTTTAAGTATGTGTGTTTCTACTCAATAACCTATACATATACATGGTGGGGGGTGTGTGTGTCCTTCATCTTCCGTGGATCAGAAACCTCCTGGCCAGGAACGAAGCGTTTGCCCCCTCCCAAGAAGAAGCAAGCCAAGGGTTTACCTAGCAGGACAAAGACGCAGGCGAGGATCGCAATGAGTGCCCCTCGGCTCAGGCTGACGGGGAGGACGTAGGCCTCCGCGTTGCAGGACATCACCATGCCGTCGTCGTCGCAGCCGCACACGTGCACGGTCAGCGTGCCCGTGCTGCTCAGCACGGGGCGGCCGTTGTCGCTGATCAGGATGGGGAGGTAAAAGGTGTTCTGCTCATGTTGTCTGAAGCCAGAGCGCCTTGTCAAGATCCACGCTGTATTGTCTGTGGGGAGAAAACAAATGGAGAGAAGAGCTTATATGCAGAGCAAACATATTCAGCAGAGAGGGAAGGTTAAAAAAAAATCAGTCCGAGACCCACATCTTCCCTTTTCTCCTTTGGTTTTTATCACTTTGCCATTAACCAGCAATTTTGCTTCTGCTTCCCCTATTCCAGTATCTTCTCAGCTCCAACCCTGCAAGGCGTACACACCTTGTGGGTTGCCTTCACCCCTTCTGACATAAAATGCCCAGAGCAAACGCACTCCCTTCAGATTTGGCTCGAAGAGCTCTCAGAAGGCAGGACAGAGACGAACACTTGAAGGCAACTTGTTGTCCCCATTTGTTCATGCTCAGCAGCTTTTCCAGACCTCACTCTTAAGCGCTGCCACCTTTTTAGAGATGCTAGTGAATAACCCTTGTGGGCATGTTACGGTTGTCTTTATGTTTTTTGATACATGACATGGCCATCTGCTTGAGGCAACAAGAAGACAAAGGAAAAAAAAACCACCCAACAACCCATCTTGCTACCCTAATGCAGCAGCGAGTTGAAAATTTGCAACTAAACATTTTTCAGAGCGATACGTGCAATTTCATTGGCACTTTTGGCATTGAGAAAAGTCAGAATGCTGCATGTCAAAATTGTCAAAATTATTGTACTTTGATTTGACCACATTCTGCTTCATTCAGTGTAACCAACTGTTTTTTACGAGAACTTGAGTCAAAATAAATCAAAATGATGCTGCTGAAACAAAATAGTAAGAGAGTGACCTAAGAGCCAGTTGCTGTTGGTCACTTCAAGGGAAATTCCTACCTTTGGGGGTTTTTCCTCCACATTCACCATGTGTTTTAAAATGCCAGGACTCTCCAGTGGCATTTGAATTCCTGTCTACCCCAGGGACCAGCAAAGATAAATGGGGAACACAGGCACTTTTTCTTTTTTTTTTGGCAGACCTACAAGCCCCAACCCCACGTAGTGATGCTGTGGGATTTTGGGGAGCTGTGCTTCATGCCGTTTCTTTTACTACTTAGTTTTGTTTCCTGTCCCCTTGGTCCAAAAGAGGTCACAGTCTGGCCATCCACATCTACAGGTTGTCCCCGGTGTACGTTTCCTACGCTTGGAGAGGCGGGATGCCAATCAGCTGTCCCCAGGTGGATTGGCACAACGGGGCTGCTACCTGGAGGCGGCAAGAAACTGTCTGATCACAATCACACTGTCAGAAAACTCAAAATATCAACAAGGGATTGTTCAATTCCTTATTATTTCCTTGTCGATTCACTGGTAAAACTTAAACCTTGGGTGACTTTCTTCAGCGCAGAGACTCAAGCAGGTACATCAGCGGTACTACCTGCTGTAGCCTGGACATCAGAAATTATCTGACGGCTTTCAGGAGTGAAATCAGGAGTGTTACCTACAGCCAGCTATGGAACATATCCAGACCCAAGCCAGACTTGCTAACCTTGCCTGCCAGACTTAAATTACGCCCCAAGTTCCACGCTTTGTGCCGCAAATCTTACAGCACCAGCCAGCACCGGCGCACATACCTATTGAGACGTTGGGCTCCACAGCTCACGGGGTCAGTTTGAATTTGTGACAAGTTTTGGAAAGGAATCTCAGGGTCTTTTTATTTCTTGCACGTCAATGACACTTCAAGATTTTACTCTGAAGGCATAACATTCTGAGGTGTGCGTGCACGACTGTATGTGAGCACACAGTGACACTGTCGTGTCTTGTCATAGAATCACAGAATCACAGAATGGTTTGGGTTGGAAGGGACCTTAAAGACCATCTAGTTCCAACCCCCCTGCCATGGGCAGGGACACCTTCCACTAGACCAGGTTGCTCAAAGCCTCATCCAGCCTGGCCTTGAACACTTCCAGGGATGGGGCATCCACAACATCTCTGGGCAACCTGTTCCAGTGCCTCACCACCCTCTCCGTGAAGAATTTCTTCCTGATATCTAATCTAATCCCCCCCCTTTCAATTTAAACCCATTCCCCCTTGTCCTGTCACTACAGGCCCTTGTAAAAAGTCCCCCCCAGCTTCCTTGTAGCCCCTTAAGGTACTGGAAGGCTGCAATAAGGTCTCCCCGGAGCCTTCTCTTCTCCAGGCTGAACAAGCCCAACTTTCTCAGCCTGTCCCCATAGCAGAGGTTCTCCAGCCCTCTGAGCATCTTCCTGGCCCTTCAACAAGACACGGTCTTGTTGAACCGTGTGATCCCGGGAGCTGGGGTAGCTTTGAGAAAAAGCCACCAGGTGCAAGACGAAATCCCCGAAATTGCCCTAAAACCGATTATGTGTCAGTGTGCAGTGATTTCACCACCCTTTGATATGCCATGCAGCTCTATGTGCAGCAGGTGTGGACAGACTGTTTTACGGACTGCGTCCCAAATCCCAGCAGAGAGCCCCGCAGGTCCCATGGCTTCCGGGCTAGGGGTGTGTTGTGGCCAGGAGCCCTCACCTCCTGCAACCTTCCCCTTCCTCTCTGCCAGGGCACACTCTTGCTTTTTCTCTCTCGAGCTGCTTATGTGCCCCCTAGTATGTGCTCCCCAGCTGTTAATACCACACCTTTTCCTCACTGGGCCTCTTTTAGCATGAGAAAAAGCAACCCAAAGGGCAGAAAAGTGTCTGCATTTATCCTGTGTCAATGGAAACGTCTGAGTCATCTTAGCCGTGTAGTAATTTGGTTGCTTTTCTCTTTCCTGGGTGAAAGGCTCGCTGTCTTTAAACTGACCTACAACAGAAGTCACAAATTCTATTCAGGTGACAGCAAACCTTCATTTTATGTAAAATTGCTCTTTGTGCGGGATAAAGACTTCATTATTCTCAGCTGGTCATACTGTGCCTGTAAAAGAAGTCACAGGCAGTGAACCTGACTGGGGCTGTGCAAAATCAGCGAGTGAGAGATCTCAAGTGTTTTTAACCAGAACTCTCATTTTTTCCAGGCTGAACCCAAGTTTCTATAAGCAAATATCGAAAGATATGTATGTTTATATACTTTTTTTCCTGTGATGTGCTGACCATATCCCGCAGGTATTAAATGTTCTGGGGGATAAAATTCTCCTGGTGACCCTTGGCATTACATTTTGGCCCTTTTGTTTTGTTTTGCTTTGTACTAGGCAGGCATCCAGATCACCTCTGAGGAATTGCTCTGTTACTCTGCAAGAGGTCGGTGCCGAGGCCTGTTGTGTGACTCAACAAAAGCCAGTGTGGTATGATGCGCTACTGCAGTGCGAAGGACGCGCTGGAATGTGATGCAGCATGGCAGAAACCAGCATATGCAATTTTCTTCCAAATTTGATACCCGCTAAGCCCCGGCCACGCAGAGAAAACGCCTTGTGAGAACACGAAAGCCCCATTATATTAAAAAAAAAAAACCTAAAAGCAAACAACAAGCACGGTAAGAATGCGCAGTATTTTCGCATCACGGCTTCCAATGTAGCGCCGCTGGCTCGCAGAGGGCCGGATGGCAGCGGTGAGCAGAGACACCGAAGACTGCAGCATGGCAGGTCCCGCGCCTGCGTGATGAAGCCACGGAGCATCTCCTTCCTGCAGTTTTCTGCCTCACTGCAAGTGATGTACCTCCACGGAGAGGTCAGGGGAATTGAGCTTAACCGCTGTGCAGGCCCAAAGCCTGAGATCAGAGCTAACCGCTGCTCTTCTCGCAGGAAAGGCTTGGTTGGTTTCTTTCTGCGTGCATCTGTGCAAGAACTGGGGATGCTTAGCCCAGAACTTCCGTTAGTTTTTACAAACTGACTGTAACAACTAGGAATAGTTAGGAATATTATAATTAAATAAATATTTCACGAGGAATGGGAGAAAGAGCACAAGGAAACAGGCACTGCAGACGTCACTGGCAGTGAGGCAGCCACACTTTTAGGGAAGGGAGAAATAGCTCAAAATTTTCCAAGGGCAAATTTCAACGCGATGGGGAGGACTGCCAGAAGCTTCCAACGACACGCCGACAACAGCACGTCAGGAGGTGTGACACTGATGCCTGCACCCATCAGAACGGCTACTCCCTTCATTAGTTCTGAGACGGAGGGCAGCAGTTCAGGGTCAACGGAAGATCAGCAAAGGGTTCAGTCTGGACATGCAGGAAGCTTACTGCGCTGTCCATCCCATTCTCACAGCAAGCCTCTTTTGCCAGTTTTTTTCCCAGCATAATCTCACCTGGATTTAGAAGCAGGGGGAGAGGGCTGGCCAATGCCCTACATCAGTAACCGAAGAGACGGGAGACCCCAGCTCAATGCCCTGCTTCATCACGTGCACACTATATGGCCTTGGGAAGTCGTTTAGGCCTAGATCCTTGCAGATACTCACACATGTGTCTCACACTGATTTTACTGAACTCAAAGGGAACCAGGCGTGTAAGTAGCTTAATATTTTCCTCGCCCCAGATCGCCGTCTATAAAGCGGAGAACAATAGGATTTCTCTGTCTGCCAGGGAATGAATAGACTGAAGAAGTTCTCAGAGACTAAAATGACAAGGGCCAAAGAAATATGTAAAACAGCTCATCAGAATGCATACCGTGACCTATCTGTTGCTCAGTATAAATCAAGGTTTTAATTGTTGCCAGAGAGGCTGCATGTCTTGCAGTTTCTCTCGCTGTTATCTTGGACAACCAAGTAATCAGCACAATTGCTAATCTTAACAGTGCCTTCTCACAGCCGGGGAAGCATCGTTGGCTCGTGTTGGCGTGCACAGGCTGTGACAAGCAAGGTGGGCTCTCTTGTCTTGTCTTGCCACCCTGTGACAGGCAGTACAACTACCCTCCCTGTCACCACGTCAGATAATTTATGTAGTCTTTAGTGGTCCCTAGACGAAAATATAAATTATTGTTACTGAAAAAATTACCGCACTCCAAATTGCTGAGGCAGTAAATTAATCCTTAAAGTGTATATTTCAAATAGTCAGTGGTTTGATACTTAATTTCAAATTTGTAACCAATAGTACACTAAGCTTCTTGTGATATATCTCTCTGGAAAACTGGTGTTTTACAGAGGGCGGGAGGCACAGCCAGTCAGTCACTGCTGTCGCTGTAAATTATCCCAAATATGGCCTTAGACAGAAAAAGTGCTGGGTATTTCGTGAGTTTATTTTTTTAGAACAATGCCTTGAGGATGAAATAAGCCTAGGCTGCCAAATGTTTTAGCGATAGTTGTGGTTTATTTGTTCACTATTTTGACGATAAATATTAAAAAGATTAAAAAATATGGGAGACAATGAGAGAGAGAGGGATAAAAATGCAAGAAATTGCATGGGGAGGCTTCAGAGATGCTATAGGAAAAAAGGCTTTGGGGATGAAAAAGCAATAGCTTGCTGTGGAGAAGCGCTCCAAACTCTTCAAGTAGCATCTTTTAAGACACGTTTGGTTAGTGAAGGCAGGGGCTGCTTTGTCAGCCTCTGTGTTCCTCTTTCGTGTGCCTGCAGAGGCACAGATGGAGGCTTATGGAAAAAAGTGTGACAAGCAGGCATGTGTGGGAGCAGGGGCAGGCACTCTGCTTGGAGACTGACTACGGGTGCTGCAGGTGCCTTTCTCCCCATTTATTCTGGAATTGCTTGATGATTTGTGGTACTTTACACACTAAACTCCTACTGAAATCCAGCCCTTTTATACTGACTTTCAAAGCTCTGCCCCACTCAAGGTTCTCCCTCTTTCCTGATGAAGGCTGGTGTGGACCTGACCCTGGCACCATTCACTGTCTGCCCATGGATATCCTCTATCAGCAGCAGTCATGCGAAGTCCTGCCGCGGCACGGCTTTCCTGCAGGCTCCAAAACTACCAAAGCTCCCCAAAAGAAGCCAGTTCCACTGGTTAGGACACTCAAATGCCATTGCTTTGCTATGAGTCTTCCCACTGGTGCTTCAGTTTCTACTTAGTGCGTCTTACACAGACATTTAGCTGTATGCCAAGTTATCCCCCTTAAGGCTCTGCATCTCCCCCCTCCTTCCCTCCCTCCCTCCCTTTCCTAGGGAAATGAGGATGTGCAAAGGAGAAGAAAAAAAGTGCTTGGGGTAAAAGGCTGGAACAGTACAAAAACCTTCCCTTTCTGTGCCTGGGAGAAAACATGAAGAGTACGAAAAAAGAGCAATGTAATTCCCTTCAGATTTGTCTCCTAGTTCCAGTTGCTATCCTACCTTCAAGCATCTCCTTTTGAATGAGTGCAATTTCCACTCCTGTAATCTGAGATGCCTGCAGCCTGACCACAAGACCTGCATTTGCACAAAACACTGGCACGTTTCCCCCAAGAAGAAAAAGGGGCCTATTGCTAGAGAATATTTATAGGGAAGAAAATATCGTATAACCTTCAAGTGTATTAAGCAAGATGTCATTTTATCACTGCCTTTAAGGAGCAGGTGTCACTTGGTATTATTTGAAATGGCAGTCTTATCACACACTGTAAGTCACAGCCTCTCAGGTCCAACTGAGGCCTTAGAAATTAGAGTAGCTAACTGTCCGTGTCCACTCTGATTACCTTGATTGTCCCTTAGAGTAAAATTGGGGTTGTTGGCTGCCTCTGGAGCCAGGCTGTAGTAGAAGTGCTGACCCTCCTGTGGGTCATCCCTGTCGATGGCGCTCACTGTCTGGATCAGCTACAAAACACCAGAACAAAGCAGAATCCGGTGAGAAGCAATATATAAGTCAAATAAAAATAGCATATATATATATTTATGTATATAAATATAAGCAACTGGAGCATTTGAATAAAACTGTCTCGCTGAGGTACAATAGATGAATCAAGAAGAGACTCAAAACCTTGCAGGCTTCACCTATTTCGCTATGATCATGCAAATCACTTTTTAAACAAAGGAGTAGAGAGTCAGTTTGGTTGAAATAACAGTTTTCTCCCACGCATCCCTATCTTCTGCTGATGTTTCTTTTTTCTTTTGAGGGCCCCAGGTGTTCCGAAGATGCACTGTACACAAGACAGCTTGTAAGAAAGCCTGCACCTCATTTTCAGCTTCATTTTGCAGGTAGAAAAGGACCTCAGGGTGATTATTTTATCACTCTCTTAATTTTAAATCAATGAAATTCTTCCCAATATGCCAGTGGAGAGAGACAGAGAAGAGGGAGGGAGGGCAACCATGCAGACATTCTGCATACGCAATAAATAACACCACGGAAAGCCAGTAAGACAATGCTAAATCCAGAAGGAGATTTGTCACCTCACCTATGGATCTTGGGTAAAGTAGGTCTAACAGCTTGAAGCACAGTGAGCTATAGCTCTCTCTGAATAAACATCTGACATCTGAAGGGAGTGAATCTTCACCTGGATTTTTGCATGCAAAAGTTATCTTTGCATTCAAAGGCAAATGACAGACCCATAAAAGTCTTACTCACTACCCTAAAACTAATTCCAGAGCTTTTTAAAACGTGGTCACAGAATTTGGCTTTCTCCACTGAAGGAGGTAGCCCAAATTAGCGCACATTTCTTGGAAAGCTTGCTATTTAGGACACCAGGGAAAAGGCTAGGCAACGATTTCTATTGCCTGTATGAGTAAGGACCTCTGTAAGTCAGTGAGATGAAATTGTTCTGTATGTGATGGTTGTGAGGACAGCTGCCCCAGCAGCGAGCAGCTACTTCATTCCGCTTGACAGGGAGTGGGCAGAGGCTTCAGCAGACATGCAGCGATATTACCAGCATAATTCTTCCTTCACAAACCACGAGTGGTGCGTACACGCTCTCAAAACAAAGCCACTCAGCTCTGCATCAGGAGACACAAGTCCCCACCGTGGGCCCCTGGGTGGTGAAGCACCAGGTCACCTCCCCACAGGCGATCAGCAGTGGAGTTCGCGCCAGCTCCAGCGAGGGAGAGCTCGCGTCCATCGGCGACACAAGCAGACCCTGTTCGAGGGCTTTGATGGGGTTTTGGAAGGGAGGGGAGCAGGGAGGCATCACTGCCCACTTGGAGGTGCTGGTTTACAGTGTGTGGAGTGGGAAGTCCTGTGTTGTCAAGGACTGCCATCTCCAGTTCACAGCAGAACAGATTCAGCTTGTCGCCCTTTTGAAGGTGATGTAGTATGTTATATCCAGCTCCCAGAAGTCCAGGGGTGCTTAAGGCTCTTATAAATACAGTCTTTTAACAGTAAACCTTTCTCACACGGGCTGGGCTGACTCCGCAGAACTTCTAACACTTCTCCTATCTTCCAAAGGGAAGGCCATGAAGTGTATTGCACAGTGAGCCTGGAAGCTACTGAGGGAGAAAGAAGAGGTGCTGTGTAGGATGCTAATCCCAGTGCAATGCGCTTTGCCTTTGGAAAGCATCAGACAGCTGCTGCTGAGAGTTCAGATGATATGTGTGGTGAGTCGAGTCCTCTCCCCAATGCTCACCCTCTCCCCAACGCTCACACTCTCTCCAACGCTCACCCTCTCCCCAACACTCACCCTCTCTCCAATGCTCACCCTCTCTCCACACACAGTCTCCACGTGGGACACCACCCCCTCCCCAAGCCCCGGCGTGGCTAGCATTTCTCACCTGCCCCGCTTTGGCGTTTTCACAAACAAAAGCTTCGTAGAACCTCGCGAACTCTGGCGCGTTGTCGTTCACGTCCAGGACTTTCACTGTCACGGAGACGCTGCCCACCTGCAAGGGGTTGTCTGCAAGGAGGAGGCACAGTGTAAAGAAAGGCAACGTACGGGAAGGGAAGGGGCTGCTCCTCACTCTGCTCAGAAGGTAAAGCTGCTTTTTTGCTACTGATGGGTGTTAAACGGCATTCCCCCATCGGTAACTGCGGACGCTTGCGGGATGCGAGGCTTGGGGTGAAGCTGCAAATGCTGCTCTGTCTATCCTGCCTTCCCACCTGATTACAGCTTTTTCAAACAAATTCCTTGGAAGACTTCAACCTGGTTCAGTCCAATGGGACTGTTTAGATAACACCAATTTTAGACAATGCCTTGTAGTTTTTTTTATTGTCCTTTGACTGGGCAGCACTGTTTGCTAAGCTGTGGTGCTGGTGCCATGAATCAGGAAGGGAGTCTCTTTAAGGCTAGGCTTGTTATTTAGAGCTTGCTGAAAGTGGTAATTCTGCAGTTCAGATATGTCTTTTTGCTCAGAATTTATGTTCCTTGAACTCAAAAATTAGTGTCAAGTTTTTGATACTTTGTACAGGGGAGTTTAAAATGTAATAACACATGAAATTGTAGAGAAAAGCTTTCACTGAAGCTTAAAATCGCAGTTAAAAATGTTACATTCTGCATGACATCATTTGTGATATTTCTGTCCCACTGGTTCATTAGCTCTCTTTGCCTGTAAATCCAGACATCATTTCATGTATCTTCACAGTTTCCAAACTAAGTGGCCAGAGAATAATTTTTTTTCTTACTTTTTCTTTCCTGCCCCAGAACATCTTTTTTTCCCTTATTTAATGAAAATAGTGAAACTCTGAACAGAAAAACATCATTTTTAAGAGGTCAGAAAAGGTGCAAAAATCCAGAAAATTCTTGAAAATTAGTATTCTCATCTTCTTTGCAGTCATACCACTTTGTGCATTTATCCCCAAACATCTCTCACTTTACAGCAATAAATCAGATGTTCATATAAACAATAGGGAATTTCCTTACACTCTGAAATTTTCTTAAAATTTCAATGTACCGTATCCATAACATGTGTCACACTGTATCATTGAGATAATACTCTTAAACTCTATTGTTTCTCCCTAAGTAATAATTTAATCCTTCAGCTTCCCACATATCCATACATATCTTGCTAATGTGCCTGTCATCATGGCAGATGAATATCTACGTTTATGCTCTTAGTAATATTGATCTAACTTCTAAAACGAGGAGCTGTATTCAGGAGTCCACAACTCCGACATTTCTGAAACTACTCACTACATTACAACGTTGTGTTGCACATCTGCAGAGTGAAGCTGGCGGAGGAGTGACGGAGGATGAGTCAGAGGGAGACATGCCTTCATACCGCTCTCACCCTCCAGTGCTGCTACAGGGGCAGCTCTGACAGACTCACCCGTGTACGGGGATTTACACGGAATTGCAGCAGCCATGGGTGGCTGAAAATAAAACTAAAATAAAACTAGCATCAGAATAGAGGGGGGTGAGATCTTATCACGTCACCGCCCCACCCCGCTGCTTAAAAAGGGGAGAGGAAGGCATTTGTGTGCTGGAGCAGCCTACAGATACGTGGCAGAGTCACCCCGGCTCTTGTGAAATATTCCTTCCGCTGACTTCAAGCTGGCTGATTTGGTTTTGGGCCAGCTTCTCAAAACCTTTTTCCTCTTAAACTCTCCACTATCTCTGGCACAGCCTGGATGTGTGGAAAGCCCGCTCAGACATGAGGAATGGCTCAGCTGTTGGCAGCAAGCTTCTGAAAAGCTGCTGCCCCTCAGCAGACGAACTCAGATCCTGAGCAAAATCCAAGTGGACCAAAGAGATTTCAGGTGAAGATTGGGTGAACCATTTATTTATTTGCCTACATAGCTCAAGCTCCTTTATGAAGCTCACATCTGGTATTTAAAACTCAGCTAAATTTTTCCTACTGTCACTATTAAATGTTCAGCATCTCCTTATTCTCATTGCCTCGGTAAATACTTGGCACGGATAAATCCTGAGCTCATTGTAAAACCCAAAAGTGTAACGAGTTCACCGTATTAGGAGATCCCAAAGCACTCTGGCCCAAATTATTTATGCAGCAAGCAGATGGTGATGACATTTACTTGCTGCTGAACGAGAGCAGGTTTCAACTAGTGACTTAGCGGTGTAGGATCTTTGCTGCCTACTGGTCCCTGCACTGCTCAATCCTCCCAGGTAGGACTGGCAGCTGTGCAGCCTTTGCAGCATATGCTTTAGCTGCCTAGCCCTTCTGAAGAGGTAGAGCTCTTGCAGGAACACATCAGGAAGAGTTTTAAATAAATCCCTGGAATACTAATGAATTGAAAAAGCAGCACTCTGCATTTAATTGCCAGCCTTTGCTCCTCCCACCACCCTGTGAAAAGGAGCATAAAAAACCAAATAAAATGCAGTATTCGCTTGTTGATGTCAAAAGCATAATTCAGTTAATACGGCTGCCCACTCAGTGCATAAGAACATGTGAATTACAGAATTCAGGTCTCTCAGCCTGCTTTGCCTATTGTATCTCTTTTGTACAGCGTGCATTCTCCTTACTCAGCTCCACGGCCAGCACAGTGATGTTGTGCCAAGAAACGTCCTCCCGGTCAAGAGGTCTTGCAGTCATGAGTGCTCCTGATGTAATGTCGACATAAAAGAACCGCCCCGGATCACTGCTCCTGTCAATGGAGTATCTGCAAGAGCACATATTAAAAATATTTATTATGCAACCTTTGTGAAAACTGTGTGTTACAGCCCATGAAGTACCCCAGCAATACTGTCAGATGCAGCAGATCCCCGTTCTTCCACAGCCTAGCTACGTGCTCCATGGACTTGTGTAGGTACAGAGTGAGATGCACAAAGAACCAGGAGTTCCTGTGACTAACGACCTTTAACGGTGAGGTACTACTTGGATGGAGCTGGAAGATGGGAGGATTTAGAGGAAGAAGCCTCAAAGCAAGGCACAGCTTAGCACAGGAACAGCTGCCTTACAGAACCTGTCAGTGAGGAGTGTGATTTCTTTTTCTAAGCAAAATAATTATGCCCTTTCCTTGGGCACAATTCAGATGGGATGAAAATTACTTTGCATCAGCTCATTCTCTGGGCACCTAGGCTGAGGAGGAGGAACAGTTCCCTTCCTCGTGCTTTTGTATTCTCTCCTCCTTCAGGGGAATAAACATCCCTGGACCGTCCTACTGACTGAGCCGTGTCAGCGCAAGGGGGCTGATGAGTGGTGGTCTCACATCAACCAGCCAGAAAAACAGCTCCCTCTGTGGGGTTGATTCATCATAATTACTGAACCTGCCTGGCCAATAGCATGCCAGTTTAATGCCGGGAACAAGCTAGTCGCAGCCGTGCACAGGGGAATGTGGTGGTACCCACAGGCCAGGAAACTCGGGCAGGGAGGCAGCTGATTGACAGCTGTCACTGCTGGACTCAGGCAGAGGAACCGCTTCGTGGGTTGTTTAACATACTCTGTACCCTCCGTACGCATCACCTTGCTCCTAACAGCAGTTTGTACGAGTTGTCTTCCTGACTAATTGCGTTGGCATGCTAAGAAATCCTCTGGCAAAAGCCGCACATGCGCCTGTGTAAATGCCACAGCCGAGAACAGAGCCCAGTTTTATTCTCATTTTTATTGGTTCTTTCCTCGAAGTTGATGGGAATTGAAAGCATTAGTCATAATGGATGCTGAACAGGGCTGGTTCTTCTGAATTTTCTCCTTTCAGCACAAAAGCATTCAGGGAACAAGCATGCTAGCCTGATCTTTATATGGGGGCTTATTAAACTGCAATATAAAATACTATTGAGCTATGTTGTTAGGAAATTCCTTTACACTTTTTTACAGAAAAATCAAAGAGGGTGGGATGGCAGGTTTGCTTTCCTTTCCTTCCCAGTCCTCCCATCTCTTGTTAAATAAAGAGATTTCTGAAGCATTTGATTTATTTAGTAAATAAGTACGGGTGTTGCTATATTTTGCTATAATAATTATTCTTGTATGAGGGCTATAAAAAAAATTTCTCTGACAGTTTAAGGCCAGCAAGTATCTGAAATTGGATATGGCCTTGTGATTAGTGGTGTGGTATTAATCACCGGTGTCAAGAGGCACAGGTGGAGTCTTTGTCTGGATTCCCCACATAAGTTCTCCTGTTAACAATACCAGCTCCTTCACACTTGTTTACTCTTCAGGTGATCTTCCTGAATCACTCTTAACAACAATCATGGCATACTTCCAGCCATCAGAATTTCACAGTGTGGGAGCCCAGGTATTGGATGCTGTGAAAATCAGGATTTGAGAGTTCTCCCGTGTTTAGTGAGCCCTTCTGAAACGTGTCCGGGCTTTTCCATAGTTGAAAAAATGGCAAAAGGAGGGGCCTGATCACCGTTTCAATTTCAGATGCATTTCAACTTGTGTAACAAAATATGTACCTGGAATTTTGGTTTTCTTACATGGCCTTGCCCTGTGCAAAGTGAACGCAGAGCAAGCCTGAAACATTGCCAGACCTGCACAGTCCTGGCATGGATGGAGGAGAGCACATGAGAGGCAAGCGGAACCAGCTTTTAACATCTGCATTTCAGATAGTATTACAAATGGTATTTATTCTTATTTTTTACCTGTTTCCTCTACCCCAATCATTTACATTTGTACGTACTAGGTGAGGAGGAAGGAGGGAGGAAAGTGGGAAGGGAGGAAGATGGGAAGAAAAAGAGGAAGAAAGCTGGGAAGGAACAGAGTTACAAAGGAGTCTGTGCATATTTGCAACTGTTTTGGGGTGGGTTGGGTTTTTTTTTAAATATGTCTTTGGTGATGCATTCTGTGCTTTAGAGAGTGCTGTTTCATCAAGGGTAGACACTGGAAAGCTCTGAAGAAAACTAAGAAAAACCTCATTAAAAATAACAATGAACACTTCTACCCCCTGATAGTATTATCAGGGGGTAGAAGAATTATTCTTATACTATTTTAAGCAGATTAGCAGAAAGCTGTTTGCACTGCAGTGTTTGCATAATGCTAGACAGTAATCAGCAGCACAGGATGTGAGCGGTAAAAAGTTTAGGGCAATGAAACTGTGATGCAGACAGTATAGTACTTCGTTTTATTGAAGAATTTGAGGCAATGCCATGAGAAGGATGATAACCTTGTAATGTAGGTAGGAAAGATAGGCATGCGATGGTAGCAGAACTGAAAAAAATAGAGCAGCAACACGGAAAGCGGTATCAATAAGAAGAACAGGCTTTGTGTTGCTCAGATCACCTAGCCGAAGCCCACAGAGCTGCTCATATAGATTTCACTTTCTTCAAAAACTCCAAATACTCGACATTTCCTCTCCCTCCCGTACTCCCCAGGACTGTTCCTGGACACAGACAACGCAGAAGCTGGACTGACGCAGGCTTAGGCAAACCGCAGCTCAACACCCAACGCCTTTCCGAGAAGGGGGGCAGCTGACCTGCTGGGATTATTAACAGGCAGCCACTCGGAGCTTCTGCAGGTTGTGAACATCAGAATGTGGGCTGGCCCCGGAGAGAAACAGTTTCCTCTGATAAACTGGGCTGACTTGGCAGCCACGGTGGAAAAGAGGGCTGTGATCACACAAATCTGCTCCTTTGGCTCCTCGCTGAGTTGCAGCTACGAAGCTCCCATGGCTGTAAATACACCTTTACCCTTCTTAACTCCTTACGGGAATATCTAGCTCTGCAGCTATGACCAGACACTCTATAATTTAGTGGTTCATGAATATTTATTAGTATGCATTCAGCCTACTCCAAAAGTAGCTGTGTATTTGAGCTGCTGAGGAAGGCAGGCTGTGAAACAGAAAGGAGAAGTGAGTGGATTACCTTCCCCTCGGTATGGCAGCAGACTCTCAGCCACGCTGTCAGGTTTTGTGCCAGCAAAGGCACGAGGGGCTGGGGTTTGTATTTAATGTACGCCCTCAGGACACACTTGACCAGTTCACTGCCGTGCTGGACGCCGGCATTCTCCGTACCACAGAAAAGTCACGGCTGACCTCCTGAGCTGCGTTGCTGTGACAGTCATAGCGCAGCCCCTCAGCGTGTGAGATCCGGTTTGACTAAACCCGCTGACAACTACTACTGGCTAAAAAGAGGGAGTCCTTCCCACCCGTGCTGTTACAGCCCCATCACCGCCACGCCAACCGGGACGTAGCCGGGAGCGCTCCTGGAGGGAACATGCAAAGAGAGGACAGACCTGATGGAGTTGTTGGTCACGTCCGGGTCCTTGGCAGAAATGATCTGTATGGTGGTTCCAATCTCCACATCCTCGGGCACTTCCACAAAGTAGAAGCTGGGCTCGAACACAGGAGGTTCATCCACATCCTCCACGCTGATGTGGACGGTGGTGGTGTCGCGGAAGGGACCCAGGTTCAGGAACCGCATTTCCAGGTGGGGGTTGGCACCTTCTACTTTCAAGGTGTAGCTCTTCTTGCTCTCAAAACTTAGAGGCTGAGGAGAAGAAATATATCTAGCATTAGGAACGATGAGCCATATGATTTAGGCCACATAATTTTAATTTTCAGAAGTAAAAGATGCCCTCTAATATGAACCGATGCTTCTTTTTTAAAAATAAATCTTTACTACGATTTTTAATCATCAGGGTAGCAAAGGTAAATATTTGCAGATGGAGACAAAGCATTGAGTGACTGTAGTATTAGAAGTGGCAGTGCCTACAGTTGAATGGTAAAAGCCAGGAGAAATATTTGCAGATCACTTCAGAACACGTATCATTTCGTTCTTCCTCCTGAAGTAAAAATGAAAGCGGACGCACCACCACCGCGTTGGGATTCACACACTGTGTTTCATGCCACTCTGAGGAAAAACACTGGCAGAAGCGGTATGGGAGCACCTGAAAGGAAGATAAAACATGAAGAATCCGTTCCTCAAAAACGGGTCCCGGTGTCGGGGACAAGGATGCTCACACGTGAGGTGAGGGTCCCAGTTAGCATCCTCTTGTCTCCCTGAGGAGATCAGCCTGGTCTCCAGAGAGCCCTGTCTGGCCAAGCGAATAAAGGGCCCCAGGGGGGCAGGGGACGTGGTCAGACTCTCTTGCAGGATCCTGTTCCATTTTTTATCCGTAATCCATCCTTCCTAGAAGTGGGGTTTTTCACCTCCCCTCACTAGGTGTCTTAAACACCGGTACACAATCCAGGTGTGCCGAGTGCTCGGATTTGAATCTCCTCCCTGCCTAGAGACTGGTGTAATTTCAAAGCATTATGAGGTACCCCTGACCTCTTCCTGCGGGAGCTCTTCCACCCTGTATGAAACACTTGAGTGTTATTTGAAACAGGGAGAGGGAATGGCTCTTGTTTTCCCCCTTTTGTTTTCTTTCCTGAGATAATGGGGGAGGGCAGCTCCCTCTGTTAGTAGTTTCATGAATCTGATTTTCTATTGAGATAAAACTACGTATTTGGTGAACGTGGATATAGAAATAATTAATGCTAATGCTGAACTTTTCAATAAATAAATTTTTTATCTCCCTTCCACCTTCTTTTCACAGATCCCTGAAGAAAATAGGGCCTCTCCAAAACCTGATTAGAACTAAAGGGAGAATCCCGTATTTAATGTGCAGTTTATCAGTCTCGATAAGAGATGACTAAAAGCACCTGACAAACCAGAATGACAGTATGGAAGGATCAGTCCAAATATACAAAAAAAAAAAAGGTCACCCGATGAAGTACACCTTACAGAGGACACAGTCATCCTTCCCAAGTTGCAGCTAGGCTAGAAGTTACCCGCTGTGGTTTCAGGTCACAACTTGTATAATCCGGGGAGTTTTAGTGCTGAAAAACCAGCGTAACTGGATCCCCTTAGCTGCCACAGATCCTGAGCAAGACAAACTTTGTACCAGGAAAGAAAAGGCCCAAATCTTTGGGTCGTTCAGCAGCACATACTCTATTTTGTTACATGAATGGCTTTCAAAACAGGTGGCTTTATTCGTAGGCAGGGACTACCACCTACAGCCTCAGTGCATTCAGACAACATCACTGCTCTTCCCATCCAACACCTTTGCTTTTCCTATTCAGCTCTTTCTTTTTGAAGACCTACCACCAGACTGGGGCAAGAAGATGGCAGGAAAATAGGGAAGGAGGAGGATGCCAAAGCGACTGGAAGTGAATGGTGCGAAGGTCGTTACCGTAGCAGTGAAGTCCTCCTTGGCCAGTCACAACCCATCTCTTTGCTGCCCCGCTCAACACTGCAGCTGGCCAAGTCTGCAGCCATGAGATGTGTCACTAGTTTCAGCAACATCAGCAGAAGCCTCACCATGCTCAGGCATGGTGGGACTATATACTATGGCCCTCAAAACACCCCCTGCATTCGGTGGTGGCTTCGGTACTTTACCGCCACAACAGCTTCTTTCCTCAGAAGTGGAAACTTTGCCGTGACGCACAAAAGCTCACGCTGTCGCAGGAACATCACCAACACCCATGCCCTGCGCAGGAAGGCCTGATGAGAGACACGAGTTCTTGAAATCATAAAACTAAAACCCACTCGGCATTTAGTATATGGAGGTGAGGAGTGAAGACGGATATGGGAACTCGTTTTCTTGTGCTGGGGGAGATGACGGTTCAGTATTACTGGAGATGCTGTGCGGCGATACGGTATGAACTGTGCTACTACCTGTGGCGGCAGGTACAACCGGATGATCTGAAACCTGCTCCCGCTGCCCTTCCTTCCAGCTGGTAAGTCAGTGACTACTGCAGGCATAGCCCTTGTCAGCACGGATTTAGATAGATCTACAAACATTACCCACTACTGCAGAGTCATTATGGTCTACCAGTTGCATATTTATGCATTGTAAAAATAGCAATAAAGTATATTCACACGACCAAGCAACACTTATTGTCCATCTGGCAAGGAATATGCAATGCAAAGCTGCCTAAACATGTACTGAGAAAGAGGCCATTACATCTCATAGTTTCTCATGTGAAGAAAACGGCACGAGAAACGTTGCATGTTCACTAAAAAGCTGAGTTATAAAAAGAGCAGTTAAATCACAGACACACTTAATAACCATAAAACCCAACTGCACTAGGAAAAGACTTAATCACCTAGTTAGAAAAAGTGAGAAAATCAAACGAGTGTACAAGGCCATCACATTTTTGATGTACCCGAGTTCAGACACCCTCAGTTTGCTGTGGACCCCTTCATCAGCCATCACAGACTTCCCTCCCGACCCTCTTGCATACCAATGCCTCAACATCGCTGCCCCCCCTCCTCAGACTTGTCTTCCATGGGCGCCTTCAAACCCATTTCCAACACCAGTCCCGTGGGGAGGGCAAGCAGGCTGCTTTCTCCTGCAAACTGAGCATCCCACAAAATGCAGCTGAGCGTAGCGGCACCCCATGGAAACCTGTCCCTGCCCCTGCCGGGGTGCACGTCAGCCTGACGGGCGGGGAGCTTTGAAGGAGCCATAACTCTTCAGGAGGCAGTCAACATCTGGGGGATTGGTGGGCTGAGACAAGTGGCCATAAGGACACAAGCAGTGGTCCTACTGGTCTGCAACCATAAATTCCAACTTTCTGATGCCCCTTATGTAAGCGCTGTTTATTTTGTTTGGGAAATCTGTCTATAAAAGCTAAAGGGGAAGTTTTGCTTTCTTTCAGTGAAGATTTCATTCTGGGCTTAGAAATTCTCTTCCTCTCCTTCCCCCCATTTTGATATTCTTTTCTATCGATGCCGTTGATTTTTTTTTTGTTTGGTTGGGTTCTTTTTTGTTGAGTGGCTCCAAAGGACAACTTTCCCAATATCTGGCTACTGATAATCGTCACATTACAAAAAGCCACAGGCATACACAGAATTTTACAAACATTTATGTACAGCAGGTGAATTGAGCCGTATGTACCCGATGCCTCTACCTATCTATCTGCTATCATTGAGGCCATGAACTTTTATAACTTCTCCTCCTGACATACACGAATACCTCGCAAAACTGTGTTCATAATAACAAAAGTCACACTTATTGACACATTTCCTCCAAAGAAATTATTTTCTTTCGTCAACAAATGGGTGAAAAATCACACCAGAGTTTGCATCCAACACCTCATTCATTCCAGCAAAGCACTTAAGCACATGCTTACCTCGAGGGACTAGTGTGCATAAACAAGAGCTGGAGAAAGGTGACCATAAATGCGCGGTTAAACGCTTTGCTGTAGGGCATCGGGACTTGCAGGGTCAAATCTCTCCCACGTGTTGCTCCGTTTTAGTGTGCAATTTAGTCCCAGGCTAATGGAGACTACGCTTCCTCGTTAGTACGCTAGATATGCTTAGGCAGAAATATGGTCACAGTTTCATAACCTAGAAACGGAGTTGAACTTCTAGCATTTACGTAAGACTGTAGAATAAATATCCTATAGCAGGGAGTCTGAGCAAAATACTCCCTTCTGCACAGCCTGCGGTACAGAGTACTAGCAGTTTCACAGCTGCCATTTTGGAGACAGCTTCTTCCAGCCTAATTAGCATTTATGGATCTTCGAGCAGCAATTAAAAAAAAAACAAAAACCAAAAACCCTGCCTGGGTTTTATTGGTTTATAAATAATTCGAAGGCATGCTTTATTATTGTCTGTGGGACACCGGAGTGAAAAATGTGTACAGTTCCAACGCAAATATTGATCTAATTTCTCGCATTGTAGGATAATTAAGCTGCAGAGATTATTTAAATAAATAAAGAGTGAATCAGAACATTCCTTCAGTGGGAAAAGACGTGTTTATGCTAATGCTGTCCCCACATTTTAAAGGTTGCTCCTAGGAACGCAGTCTGCTTTCATATCTTAGCAATGAATGTTAAAGAAATTGTGTTTTATAGCAGGAAAGGGGCTACTGTCATGTAATGGGAACCAAGTTACTAGAAGCAGAAGGGAATATTGCACACATAAAATGCAACCAGCACTGTTAGCCGTATAAATTACTATAAAAAGCAAACTTTACTACCTTTCTCACAGTTATGATGCCAACTTGGTAATTAGGATCAGTGTTAATATCAAAGACATCCAGTCCATCTCCATCCACGAGGCTGTATTTCATCTCCGCGTTAATGCCTTCATCTAGGTCCTTAGCAACCACGCGGCCCACGGTGGAGCTGACGGGAGCGGACTCCAGCACGCTCATCTGATAATGCTCTGGCACAGGCAGCAGAGAGGACCGAAAAAAAAAAAATATCAGGCTGTGAGAAGGAACTGAGAACTGCGCAGTGTTTCAAAGAGTAGATCAGGAGCAGGCCACAACCCTGCACCGCCCGCGGGGAGTCCCCAGTACCTTTCCCAAAGCTGCAACAGCGCTGCGGTTTGCTTTAAAAAAGTCACCACCCCACCCCAAACTGCCTGGGAAAGTTTTATTGGAGTGTCTGTCATGTCAACAGGTTTTGTTCAACGTGTTCGTTTCAAAACAGCAATATACCTGAAAATAGGAACTTCAACTAGAAAAATAGGGCAATTAACACCAGTGCTGTTGCAGCCATGATATAAAGCAGGATATGAAAGAGATTTAATAGGACAGGCATCTTTTATTAGACCAGCTTGTACAGCGGGAATAAACACACAACTTCTGCGCACCACAAATCCTTTCTCAAGTCCGTATCATCTCCTCTCCCACCCTGAACAAGGCTTTGAGCACTCAGAAGCCTGTTTCTTCCAAATTTACTGGTTACTCTATCAAAATGCGCTACCTCTCCCTACAAACCCTGTCTTGAGCACATTTGGTGCGCCACTAATTTGCTTAGCAGCAAGCCTGGGGAAAGAGAAAGCTGCTATTTTAAAAACTTGCTTTAAAAATATAAATGTTGCACCCAAAATACTTCTCTGCCATCATATTTTATGTTCAAACCTTCCTTCCTGCACTCTCTCTGCTAACTCCACCAATTATTGAGCTTTGCACGGCAGAATTGCACCAAGGGTTGGGTTTGATCTAGTCTTGTCTCTTCTTAATCAAGAGTTTGATATCAAACAGTTACAGTTCATGCCGCTTGCAGAATGGGATTGGCAATGGGGCATTCAGCAAGTTGCTCTGTCAGAAGAAAAGTGGGTTCTCGCTGATCTCAGTGGAGTGCTTTGATTTAGCAGTGCAACAGGCTGAAACAGGCGGAGAACAGCAAACAAAAAGAGCTGCAGGAGTTTTCACTTCCCAGCCACAGGAGGAAAACGGCCAAATCAAAATGGTTTGAGACCGATCTACACCACTGAACAAATCAGCTTGCTTTAAAGAAAAAAAACAAAACAGATTTCTTGTAAAATCTAATTCAATCAAACCTGAAGAGCTTCTTTCAAACTTTCACCGGTAACATAGGATTATGTAGGTAAACTTGATTTAAAAGAATTTTAAAAAGAAAAACGTTGCAAATCTTGCTCTGAGACTCACTTCTGTAAATACAAGGTAATGTCTCTGGTATGAGCAGAGTTGCCTATTTTCTCACTCCATGAACTGTGGCTGTTACGTATCTTGGGGTTTAACTCTGTACGGCCAAGGTTTAGATAAACCTTTCCTGGAGAGCCGCCTGCATGACAACGCACGCTACGCTGGCAGCACAGCTACCAGACGCTCCCCTGCAGCGGCCTGGCTGGAGAGCTGAATGAATTTATCTTTCAACTACCAGCACCGCCACATGTCCCCGATTTGACGGACATCCTTTCGGAGATAGGATGAAAAGAGAAATCAGGCCAGCGATTAGCAGCCAGAGGCAATGGCCACGAGCAGTCTAGGAACACAAAAGCTCTCCTTCTTTCCTTTTCCTGTAAATTACCTTCCCACCCCTTAAACCAAGCGTTGGTTTTGATGATTTTGGAGGTCAGAAACCTCTTCTGAAAAACAAGCTGCTGAATGCTCCATTTTGACGTTTTCTGAAGGAAAGTTCCTTCTTCAATCCAAAATTCTGCCCATCTCTAACTGTCACCGTCCTAAGGCCGAAAATGGCTGTAATGAGAGCAAACAGCAGCCCTGCAACTCAGCCACCCCTTTTCGCCCGTCCCGGCGCGGGGGGTACTCACTCTGTGGAAAGCGGGGTGGGTTGTCATTGACATCAGAGAGGGTGATGTTGACTGTGGTTGTTCCAGCTAATCCTCCCAGCTGTCCGCCCATATCCTTGGCCTGGATAATCACTTCGTAATATTCTTTCGCTTCTCTGTCCATGTTCATTAGAGCTGTCCTAATTAAGCCTGTGAGATGGAGAGGGGGTGAAAGGGTTTTCGGGAACAAAAGAAATGGCAGTTAGCACACAACGAAGGTGCGGTGGCCTTGCTCCCGCCGCGTACGAGACCGGGCTCCGCGTTCCGTCTCACCTTTCCTGGCGGAGTAAAACTCATCCAAACCGAATCTAGGTTAACAGAAGGTGTGAATTTTAAAGAAGGCCAGTTAAGATGCACCAGCTGCGGGGCAGGCTGTCTGTTCAAGAGTGAAACGTTGCCTTCCAAGGCAGCTAGAGAAGCGTTTCGGGAACGGAGTGTGCTAGGCTGCACTAAGGCCTAGCTCGGGTGAAATGATGTCACGCAAAGGGTGGCAGCGTTGGGGTTAGGGAAAAAGATGCCTCAGGACAAGTGTGCAGCGCGTCCCCACAAGCGCAGCCCTGGAAGCAACCTGGCCTTGGGGGCTTGGCTCGGGTCCTTCGGGACCCGCACTGGGGGCTACGAGAGGAGAATTTGGGGAGATACCGCAGGTTCGGGGAGGTTGCTCGAGGCGGGGGATGGTCACCCTGCTCCCCCGTCCCGTTCCTGCGGGTAACGCTACCGCGGGAGGACGTGAGGTGGCAGCAACACTTCTCTGACGGAGGCTGCGAGGCGCCGTCCAGGGGAGCGCT